TTGGTTTTTGGAATTTTCGCATTAAGACATTTCCGATGGAACGCTTCGATAAATCTTCCTCCCTACACCAACCGCTTAAAGCTTCTAAATCTACCTACTCTCGCAAGTCATAGCGAAATGTTATGCGCATTGTTCGTAGCGAAACTTCTTAACGGATCAATTTGTAGTTTATGACTCTTATCTCTGGTAAACTTTAATGTTCCAACTTGGGTATGCAGTGCAGGCCTTTACTATTAAAGTCATCTAAAGTCATCGACTGTGTCATAATTTTAATTTACGTTCCAGCACCTTCGATCTTTCAACTCACTCTTTAGCATCAAAAAAAACTTTTCTTACTCTCGAGAATTATTTTTTAAGCCTCCATGACTACTAAATTTCAGCTGATGAATAATTATATTTTCTGTAGCTGAATAGTTTTAAATCTCGACGCTTAAGAAACGTAATGCGGATGTCGCCTCTCGTGTCGGTTGGGCGTGTAGAGTTTATTCGTTGGGCTTATTATTATAAGCTCACTTCTCGCAGAGAGGAGTAATCCGACTATTTGAATGGGCCAGTCCGCGGTCCACATCCCTGAGAATAGTTTTCCTGCTAATCTAAGCAAGGAGCCAACTATTCATCGAATTTTAAGTAAACTGAGCCACAAATAAGATTTTTTAATAGGTCTGTCCACTTCCCGGACCTCCCTTTAAATCTAAGGCACCTATGTATCAAATTTCAAGTAAATCGAGCAAAAGGTCCGCTTTTTTTAGGTCGGACGAATACATTTGACATTATTTCAGGAGGGGAGATCGCAATTAGAAAAACTAATTTTCTATAGTTTTAGATGTTAGTCGAATCATACGTAATGCCAAAACAATTTTTTTGGTTTTGACTAAAATTCATCCAAAAATTATTTTAAACGCTATTCGTGGCAACAATTACTGTGGAAAACAATATCTAAAGACTTTGTTAGGTTGAGTAACACTGGCTGTCCGTTTTATTCTGATATAAAATAATAGCTTTTTTAGGGCCATCAAAGTTTTTGGCATTACTCCATATCGAATACTCAATCCCTTTTTTGTCGGGAACGGAAGGATTGGACAGGTGCGGACAGGTAAATACACGTCGTCGGAACTTTGAGGGTTTTCGGTTGCTCCACGTGGTGACAATATTGGTATTTGTTTAAAATATGTCGAGTAATGAATAAGAAGAAGCATTTACATATTCTCAACTCACAGCTGCCTGATTTGGTAGACGAATGCGCATATTTAAATGAGGAAATGATATATCTACAAGACGGAACTCCGATACATGCGTCGAAAATGCCCCAAAATTCAAGTTTTAAAACTGTTCAAGTGATTAGCAAAAAATTACGATCGTAACATGATGGAAAATTTGTGTTCGTGCATTAAGCTGCTAAGATGAACACCAAAATCTACCTGCCGATACAGATGAAAAGTGAAACCGTGCACTGACTGAGAAATATCCTGTAAAGAATTTAAATCAAAGCGTATAAGTGTAAAACTGTCCAAATGACCTTTAAATGGAATTTATAGGATATTTTCATAAGAAAACAAAATAAAATCTTCATGTTTTATATTTTTTGAATTGGGAATTGTCTTTTACGGCCCTGAATACAGGCAAAAGGGTTCCACGGAGTGGATTTTGGAAACAAAAAGACGTAGCATTGATCCAAATACGAGCTTTTGGTCTTAAAATTGTTCACAACTACAGCTTGGTGCGATGGCTCATTATCGTCATGACAACCCCATTGCTCACAATTCCGGGAGTTTAAGGGGATTGTTTTTGGGCGAACGCCTCTAAATGCTCAAATAATGCAGTTTATTGACCGTCTGTCCCGTTGGAACGAATTCATGTTGAACCAAACTAAATCGACAAAGGGTACCTGGAGAAAGAAGTCTGATAAGGAAACGCAGTGGCTTCTGAAATGGCAGCTATAACTTCCAATCTACAAACTGTTGTTGTGATTCTTTCATTATTTGCAAAAAAAAGATAATAAATATAATAAAATTAAAATCTACAAATAAATATATATTGGCTATGGCATTAAACGGTGAGAATATATTGGGTTGGTGGGTCAAATATTATAAATCTTAGAAGCCAGAAAGAACAACACAAGATAATTCGATAGAATTGTGAACAAATATTGAATATGGTTGCGCAATCGGACAACAACTACGCTTTTTTCCAAATAACGCACATTTCATATTGTCAAGTGGACAAGACTCAATATCCAATAAGCCAATAGAACTCAAGGGAACTTGGTGGATATGCTAAAAAACTAACATTTTCACTGAAAAACTATCGACCTTTCTTAAATAAACTGGATTTAACCGACAGTATTATTTTTGTTGAATAGTTGTTCCCTGTTGAAATCGGATCAAAGCTTTCAATTTTGAATCTTTAAAGTATAAAATATTTTAACCATTACTAAGTGGACTGCAATCGATTCGTCTACGCATATGTAAGTTTTTGAACGCATCTTCTTTAAAATACCAGTTACCATTTAGTTCTGAACAATGTGTCAAGCTTTTAGAAAAGCTTTAAAGGATTTCACCCACAACAAATATACCCCATATCTCTTCATTTACGCAACAACAAGGAACTAAGTTTGCATGTAGACCCCATGTGAAAAGTTTGCCCTATCTTTGAACCACTACCAATGAAGCCAATTGTTGTGTGAAGAACGTGTTGTTATTGTTTCAATTTCCGTTGCTCAAAATCACAAACAAAGCTTGTGAGACTTTTCACTTATACAAAAAAATGTTTGTAAAAAATTAATGTAGCATAAATTGCGCTGCATATAAATGGGAAAACTTTGTAAAAACTAACTTCTACATGATTTAATTTTTTTCGCATTTTTTTCACATTTTTTCCTTGTTTTTTTCTTCTTTTTTTATTTTTTATTTTTTTATTTGCATATTTAGTTTTTGTTTCGGCTTCATGTTGGTCTTTGCTGCACTTTAAATTGTATATGTATATATGTGTGTATGTGTGTATGTATAGTTTCGACATGTGTGTATGTGCAAGCTGATATGTATACGTGTATTTTATATATTTATACGTGTAAGTGGGTTAAACTTTACATTCAGTGAAATTTAAAGTTTTCCACCCCATCAACATTAAATAACGCCAAGAGGGCATTGAAACAGTAGCATTTGTGGCATGAGCAGCTACGAATAAAACAACAACAGCAAACGAAAATAACCACGACATCGATGCTTATGGTTTTGTTCATTCATTTGTTCATCAGTACGTTCGTTTGTTCGTTTGTTCGTTGGTTCATTCATTCTTTCTCTTCGGCCATTTGGCCAAGTTTTCTATTTGGCCAAAATGTAGAAAGCTTATAAAGTTTAATGTAGTAAACCAGCGAAAAGTTTTGTTGTTAGAAAATTGAAGTTCTCTGTGTATTTAACCGCCCTTCTGCATCACATGGCAGCCACACAGTGCGACCCTACCCATCCTCTACAAGCCCATTAACTGTCATAAACTTTATGAAGGCAATGGAACCCTTGCAATTTGACACCTTCCTCCTACATTTTGTTTGGTCCAACCAACTTGAGCTCTGTATTTTCCCAACTTCCAACTACAGCGCCAACTGCGTCACAGTTTATTTCCTTTGTTGTTTATATTCGTATATTCTCGTCGAAGTGGTCGTTTTTTCCTTGCATTTTTTTTTTCTCTGCTGCCAAAAGAGTTCATCAAACTTTTTTCGCCCCTCAAAATAGTGACATTAGACTAAGCAAATACGTTTGGAGCAAAGTGTTTGAAGTGCTTCAACTTCGCAACGTATCGCATGGCAGCAGTGAAAAAGGATTTCTTTGTTAAGCGAGAGAACTTCGTTTGCACTCCAGTGAGTGGGAAAATTGCTATAAAGATTTGCCAAATCTGTCTGGAAAGTCAAATACTTTTCGTTGAGAATTTTTTATTGCATTTCTTCTTGGGCACATACAAAAGTGCACTAAGTAATTTTTGCTGCGAAATTAAAATGTCCCAACAGCATGTCGACTTTTGCATAGCGCTGCTGCTGCTGCTGCCGCTGCCGCTTGCTGCTTAGCCACTTCTGCATATTAATGAGTTGCAAGTTTGCATAGTCGAGGAGTTTGGCAACAAACTGCGCAATGTTTGAACGAAAACAAAATGCAAGACTCGAATATTAATATTTCAAAGTACAAATTCCATTAGACTTTAGCAAATAGCAGACATTTGACCGAAAATAATGAAAATTGCGCCGTTGACATTATTCAACATGGACGTGAACTTTAAATTTTCCACTATGCAAATAAGCGGGAGATATTAAATAAAAAATATATTACAAGTTTTTAATTGAATTGAATGGAAAAAAGCCAGTAAAGCAGACTTGGCTGGTAAGCAACCGAAGCGGAACACTTTGTTGGTAGTCAACAGATGGGCCAAACCATAAGCACTGGAGTTAGGTCTATATCTCGTCCTATATCAGTATATTCTGGATAGAAGTGGTGCTGAAAAGGGATTCTTAGCACCAACGTCAAATAAAGATGGTCGGGACGGAAGGCAGCGTGAAGGGACAAACGGTATCCAAGCCAGACTTGATGACCAGGAAGGTTGGAGGGACTGGGATGACAAAATTTGCTATGCGCTACTTTTCTACGACCAAAAACTCAATTCGGTAGTCTTCTGTAAGCATTCAGACCGGGTGGGAAGTTCTTATGCATCCACATTTATTCCGCACCTAGCGCATCCTGAAGACCGTATGAAGGTCAAGCTCAATAAATTCAGTAGCTTAAAGTTTTACCAAAAAGTGCTCAGTAGACTTTACTATAAAGCTATTTTCTCGCTTCAGTGTTGATTACAACTCAAAGGAAGACTTAAATTTTTTCATTATAATTAATTATACCTCACCACCAATTCAATTGGTTTCAAGATTTCATCCACAATGCAATCAAACAAATCTATAAAATTTTAATACATCATGTCCATATACTCGTATTTATGACAAATACTCAGGCACGCATACTCACCCAAATCTCCTGCGATAAAGGATCCATGAAACTGAATACGCCCGGCGTTTGCTTCACTGGCTTCTTAATCATTATCGAAATGCCCAATGACATGAATGGCTTGCTGAAATCGATGACACGCTCTCGTTCGGCGGTAATGGTCATGGCAGCGATTGCAATATCCGCTTCCTGTGTGGCCGCGCATCATACGCAAGCAATAAATATCACGACGTCACCAACATAACCATGGTGGGCACATCGATAAAGTTCGTTATTTTTATTTCGTGTATTGTAATTTTTTATTTTTTTTGTTTTTTTTATGTTTTCATTTTTTTTTGTGTTTGTGGGCGCGTTGCGAAATTCGGCATGCAATAAAATCGTCCAACAAACAACGATGGACAATGATAATCGTTTTGTCCGGATAAAGACGGCGGCGGTGGTAGAAGCGGTCATTAATATGTGGTTTTATACGACGCAGCGGTTTGGTATGCCGGAGATGACAGAAGAAGAAATAAGAAAGAAAACATTTTGAGTGCGTTGCGAAATAAAAATGTTCATGCAAACGGAATAAATTCGTGTGCAACCAATATGGCTGTGGCGTGTAGTTGTAAGTAATTTACATGTAAGTATGTATACTCACCCGTCGCACCAGTTCACCGACCATGCCATCCCAGCCACCACGTACCGTTGGATTCTCTGAGCCGTATGTACCATCTTTGACCAGTCGCAATTCATCTGTCGACGGAACAGGGAGGAGCATTTGCGGCAAGAAAGTAAGAAGAATGTTGAGCATAAATACAATGCGAATAAGTATGTAGTTGATAAATATCTACAGTAGATGTATGTACATGCTGCTAGAAAATAAAAAAAATATACGAATCCCAAAAATTAAACTGTTTTCGCAGCACAAATATATTATATATATTTCTTTTCTTTGAAAAAAACTTTTATCTTTAGTTGAGGTAAGTTCGGGCAAAGTTAAACCACTTAATGGAAGTAGGAATAGCATTTGGGTCAACTGAGAGTAAGTCCTCATGAAACTTAGGGGTATTCAAATATCGAAAGCTTAAATAAAAATACATATCTAAACTCCCCTTTATTCCAATGGAAATGGCGGAAGCAAGGGTGGGAGAGTCATAAAAGAGAACTACGGGGTAAGGGAAAAATCGCTTTAGTGATAAATGAAATAAATTAATTTTACTTTATTTTTACCGTCGATCTCTTTGTGCATCTGTACATCATAGATGAGTATAGAGGATGCACACCGGGTCCAGTAGTCTATTGTGCCATTCGATTCTTTCACATTATATCAAACAGTTCTAACAGTTCCTTTGGCTGAATAACTTGTAAATGCCTTAGAATTCTTCTAGCAACAGTTAAGCATTTAAACAGTAAGTGAGTCTCTGGTTGTAGCGAGTCTATGCCTATGCTTACGTAGTCTGCAATGTCCTCTAAGAAATCTTACTAGTAATCTTATGCTCCCTAAATCATATTCTGTTTCTAAATCTTCTGGTATTTTACCCGTTCATGAGCTTTTTTGTTTGCCTCATCCCGTGACTAGCACACTAGTATCTATTTACTATTCTCATTTCCTCATTTTTAGCTCATTTCCGATTGTGTGAGAACTTCTAGGAAAGCAATGCTCTGCTTCGTAGCCAATTTAAAGCCACTTTTCTTGCAAGTATATCTGCTAACTCATTTCCTCCAATATTGGTAAGTTCGGAAACCTAAATGAGCAGAATTTTTTTACGTTCACCCACTTGATTAAGATTATTTACATATTCCCATACCATAAGGGATTTAATTGTTCCTGATGATATTGCCTTCAGGGCAGTTCAGAACTCAGAATAAAAGAACAGCATCGGATAAGGGAAAGACTAAAAAGAGTATGAGATGAGCCATTCTGACCCAGCTTGGCTTTATTTGCGAAGCAATGATTAAATGCAGTTCCGCAGGGCTATAGTAGCCTAAGTTCAGAGCTTTAGTTCGCTGGCGTTTTAATTTGGCTAGTCAAGCGTACTCCTATTTGGATATCACTATCTGGATGTGGTCTCGTATTAGGTGCCTTTAGTAGACAGTACGACTCATGTATGCTCATTTAGACAATATTAGCCGCTAAAATTTCCAAAGTTCTTAAAAAATTAAGTTAAATTTTCCCTCGACAGGGAATGTCAACCCCTCCGAGGGTATTTCTGAGATGAAATAAAGCTCATTATTAAAAACCAGCAGCCGTTCAGAGGCGGTTTAGTATAAACTGTAGGGCCCGCCATTTGTTGGAAAAACATCAAGAAGTAAGACTATAATTTGGGGGAGGAGCTCGGCCGAAAATAGCTTCAGCGGTTACAAAGTGCGTCAATTTTGACCCTCAAAACTTTAAGGTTTTTATTTTCTTTATGCATGTAAAACCTTATTTTCAAAATTTTAACGACTTCTATTGATCAATATGTGTGTTTACTGCTATAACCCCCTTTATATTCTGAACGTAGAATTTATTAAGAGCTGCGGCGCTACCGAAACCGTTGGTTTGCTTATAACGATTTTTAAGAAAACTACTGCTAAACTATCAATAAAACTTTTACTGAGGTAAATAAACTTAAGTCGCTTTGACACAGCTCTTTGGGAGCAAATATGTCCTAACATAATTCATATTGGTTAGTACTGAAAAAAAGAACAACTGTAGTACTTGGAATATGGGTCAGTAAGTGTTTTTTTTTTGCCAAGCTGCTATTGCTTACATAACTCTACATACACATCTAAATAGCATTGCAAATATATGAACATTTCATGCAACATTAAAGACACACTCGTTTACAATACTCACAATTGATGCCCAATTTCTTGGACAATAAATCGGCTAAATCCTTGCAGTAACCCTCAAAGCGGTCATTGCCATCCAACTGTTCGCCAATACTCGGACGCTTCAGCATCATATACGGCTCCTCGAGCAATGTGGTAACCACGTATGTGCGATTCTTTTCGATTTCGACATGTGGCCGTAGACGCACGTACTTGGCGGAGAGCGGTTGAAGGCCAGCATCGTCACTCCATTCGGCCACTTTTACCATGGCGCTGTTGACAGTCATTTCGACAACGTGCAGCGTGTAGTTCACTCGTCGTCCGTAGTCGTTGAATTTGATGTCGCCGGTGAGACCTTCGATTTCCACCTGTCGTTATGTGCAATATATGTATGTATGTGTGTAGGTATATAATGTGAAAGAGAAGTGGGTAGAGAGATGAAAGAATACTTGTAATGAGTTTTCAACTATACTAAACTAAGGAGGGTTATGCTTGGCTGGACCACGTACACAAATGTAAATATGTAAGTACGTGGTGGCTGAGTTTGTATGTGGTTAGCAGTGCGCGGACGGCTTGTGTAAGGCCAAGGCTGCCTATGCTTGTGTAAGCAAGTGAGTGCTACTTATGCTCATGCACAGGTTTGTATGTATGTATGTATGTATGCCTGTATGCAAGTATGCCACTCTTACACGATTTGTTAGCATCGTCTTTGTTGAAAGCAATTTAATGATGCAGAGTGTAATGGTTGATTTAAATTGCGCAGCAGTTGAAAATTTAATTGCATCGACGACATGGCGTATACGTAACCTATACCACACACACACCCACGCAAATGTATGTTTGCAGGCATATAAAACTCTGCACATATTCTCACGTAAGCAAAGGTTATATAATACATGTGTGCCGTCATGTGCTCATGAAAATGTGATATCCAATTAAATGCTGTTTTTGTTGGCAATTATTCGCAGCTTATTCATTACGCATTGACTTGACGGCGCGGTGCAACAAGTGCCTGCTGATACATACATATGTACTTATTACTGATATATGTATGCACATTTTGTGCGTACTTTATGACTTTTTCATACTGTGTATTTACTGTTGGTCCATGAATATCTCCTTGCATATAAGCAATCATATACACATACGAGTGTGTACTCTGAGTGTGATTTTCCACTCATGTGCTACTAATTTTGGCTCATTATTCAGACAAACAAACCCGCAAGTGCAACAATAAACCAACGTGTTCTTTATGGCCTTCCTGTCGTGTAGGTGGGAAACTTTTAAAATGAAATAACGACACTGTGAGCAAAGTTAGTGGTAATCGGAGCGGATAATCAGTGCATACAGCTGAGAAGTTTTGATGGTAAAAACTGGCATTGAAAGTGCAGAGATTATTTTTTACGTACAAAATTATGTCATTATCATGTTATTGAAAAATTGTTGAGAGGAAAACGTCAGCACTTTAAATTATGTTAATAAGATAAACAGTCTGTTTGTATGTCTTTACGCGCACCACTAAATAGACCATGTATAATCACTGGATAGCACCAGAAAAAAATCTTAAATCATTTTTTTTTAATTTTAAGTACTTAAATTTACTTTAGAATGAGCTTAAACAAAGTTCCTGAAAAAAATTAATTATAAAATTAGTACAAATGGAAATATTTTTTAATAAAAAATTAAAAGTTTTTTCACCTTTTTGAATATAACTGCTAATTTGAGAATTATTGGAGAGCTTTTAACTGTTTAATACTTTCTTGAAAGTGTTGGTTTAGAAGGTCAAAACTCAGAGATACCGATTTTTTGTGATTGGAAATTAAAACCCATAGTTTAATGATTTTACTATTTTTTTACTTTAAGGCGCATTGTAATGATTTTTTTCTAGAATGTGCGTAGAAAGTGGAGCACGTAATCTGTAAACGTTCGGCATCCGGAAGACAAAAGCTGTGTTTACTTGGTATCTTAAGGCTACAGGATCTTAAATCGACAATGCCCCACTGACCAGACTGACTACTTTAGTCACTCCCACTAGAGGGTGTAGCAGTAACGCTTGATTGCACTTGACAACACTATGGAGCCGATAGGCCCACCAGTTTAAACTAACCCAAAAACTCTGTTAACCGTCGTGCTTGCTTGAGACTGCTCTGATTGAAAACCGTAAGACACAAAATTGACTTCCTCTGAAAAACACTTAAGCACGGTATTTCAGCTAAATATTACATCGAAAAAATCCATCTTACAGGACCACATTACACAAAAGTGGCCCACATCGATACGGGTAACCATTTTAAAGCAGCGAGGCCGGTTTTCTATTAGACTTGTACACTTGCTTTCTCAGAGTACTAATGAGCAGATCGATATAAGCGAATGGTATCTGAAACTCTCTAAGTAGCGCCGCTACTTAGAAAATGTTTTCAGAAAAAGAGCTGAAGCGATAAGGATTAACGAACTGAATCGCTACCGAGGTTGGAAGACGCATTTGCAAAAAAAAAAAAAATAAGGGGCTGAAACATGTGAATATGAATAGCTTGAGAAGCTAACCGATGAGTATATTGCTTGAAAATTTTATAAAAAAAAAGTATTTTTGTGATCGGAGCATACTCATGTAGGAATCAAATTAATCTAGATACCAATGTCCTGAGTATACTTGGTGTGTGGAGAGAATGATTCTCTGGCCTTTTGAATGGTAATCGAGGATGTTGGAAAATATGTTGCAGTACCCGATCATCACTAACGTTCGCATAAGTAATATTAAATTGCGGGAAGCCGATGGCTCGCAGGCAGCCCAAGATTGCATTATATTTCTGTACAGCATTTGGTCAAACGAAAGCAAGCCCGACAACTTGTGTGGTCTGCTCAATCCATAAAAAGGCGGATCCCACAATCTACGCCAGATATTGTGGCAAATTTACATTCAAAGTCTTATAAAATCATAATCAACAAACTGATTACCCCTTTGCACTTTGATTCAGACTGGGATAGTCTGATATCGATTTATTTTTTACCATGTTCCAAATCGTGGAAAGGGCACGTAAAAAAGAGCCCCACATAAGTTCTTATTGTTGTTTTTAAAACAACCCTCGTGAGTACGCATGAGAAAATCTAACAAAGCAGCTTGTAAATTAAAATATTATTCGGTTGTCGTGAAGCACATAGTCGGACCGCAATACAGAAATTATCGGGAAAAATGGAGCTCTCGGTACAAGTTTGTGATGTGAAGAATGAAAGACTTTCACGTCACTGAAGAAGAAATAAGCATATTGCTGTTGTAGCCCAATGGGTTGAACAAATCCCCTTTAATTTACATAAAGACTTGTATCTTAAGGCTTATAAAGTTCAGTTGTCACAAGAACTCAAGCCGGCCGATTATCAATAACGTCGTGTCTTTGCTGATTGGGCCCGGTCTTTGTACTGAATGATCAGAAATTTCGTCGAAAAATCCCATTTCTGACTCCGGTGGCTAAGCTAATAATCAGAGCTTTCGCACCTGGAAAATTCTCTCCATCCCAATGAGTAACTTGTTGGTGCGGCTTATGGCCTGCCGGGATCATTGGACCATAATTTTTTGAAAATGAGGCTGGAGCAACAGTTACAAAAAAAAAACACTATCGGGAGATGATAAATGTTTTTTAATGGCCAGAGTTGAATGGCAATGATTTGGACAGCTTTTAATTTCAGCAAGACGGTGCCACGTCCCTTTAAAGCAACGTAACCATCGATCTATTAGGGGAAAAGTTTCGGGACAGTGATATTTCATGAAACGGTGGTCACAATTGGCCACCGAGATCTGGTAAGTTAATACCTTACGACTTATCCCTTTAAGACTATGGGAAAGATTGCTTTCCTGCCAACAGGCCAATGTTGGATTAAGACCTCAAAAAGAAAAGGCGTGAAACTATTGAGGGAATACAGCAGCTACTTATTGACTTGGAGCTGGGAAATTTCATAAAAAGGGTGCGGTGTTGTATTTCTAGACGTGGCGGCCCTTTGGCTGATAATGTTTCCCTTTCCCATTATTAATGATACATTATTCTCTGTACATTGAAATAAACATAATTTATCTTAAAAAATTCCATATTTCTTTGAATATCACACAACATCTCTTATAGGGAAGCCCTTTTTAAGTCAGGGGGTTCTTACCATGTGCCTGGGATTTGATTTTATCGGGTCTGAGGTTGAGCTTCTTGGAAGGTTGTGTTAAAAGAGCGGTGCAGAATCTTGGAAAGCTCTTGAAATTTCTCTAGACTTTCCATGTTTTCCAATTTGTGGCATAGTTCTTGGTAAGGCTTTCGGGAGACTATTTGCTGTTACGAAAAAATATTTTACAAAATACGATTTGATATTATAAGGAGTAATGATGCTTTCAAAATGCGAGGTTTAAAAGAATAAAACTAAAGCAAATTTGGTGTTCACTTAAAATCTGTTTTTAGCCGCCCAAACTTCTGTAGGACTATATGTACAATGTTGTAGTTTGCTGGTTTTCCACGATACACTCACTTTTACCCATTTCACCTCTATCATCTTATCAATGTACGCTTTTCCCACGGCACTTGTTGTTACACTAAACAGGTTGTTTCGCATACATATAGACATACATACAGCTTACATCCACACAACCCGTGGTGTGTATTGAGTTCAAAGCTACAAAGACTCGAAACAAAACACACTTGGCCAATGAGTCTTCCAGCTGTTTAGCTGTCAGGCCACCCTTTGCACTGCTTTTCTAAATAAATATTTACAAACTTGGATTGTACCGCCTTCGTTGGTTTGACGACTAGTGTTGGCGTGCACACAAAATAACGCCCACCACAACCTCCCACGTCCTTACTTGGTCCAACACATAGTAGCAACACTGCTCGTCTTACTACACTTCCACTCGCTTACCTTTCTCAAATAGCGCGATATTTTATCACCATGCTCCCACGGGTTCACCCAACCCTTCGATGTGTTACAGTCGAGCGCCCGCGGCGTATTGCCACCACCACCTCCGCCGCCGATGCCATTGCCACCACCTCCTCCACCGCTACCACCACTACCGCCGATTCCACTGCCAATGCCGCCAACGTTGCCGCCAGCTGCCATACCCATTGTAGCGTTAATGGACGTGGAGGCCGCTGCTATTAGTGTTTGTTGACCTCGTCGTTGGATGTTGTTGCGGAATTGATCGGGTTTCTTGCGGAGTATTTTGTTGAAAGCTTCGACCAGCACGAATACAGCGTCATACATGAGGGCGGCCTGTGCCTGTGGGTGATGGGAGATGGAGAGAGAATGAATGATTGGGTAAATAAAGGTAAGTACAGTTGGGTATTATTGTTTTTGTGGTTCGTGGTATTGTTCACTTGTTGTTTTTGGCTTTGTTATCGTTCTTGTTATCCCTATCGGTTGATGCACCGGCAACGGAAGGATATGTTAACTAATAATGAGTACATTACTTGGCGCTTTTGTTTTAACAGACAACATACATATAGACTGTGCTTGTAAGTCAAATATATTATGTACTTAAGTGTATGTAAATATGTGTGAGGTGATTTTCATTTTAAGCTCCTGGGTTAACTTACATCAGTTGTGGCTGCTTTCTAAATACTCTTTAATACCAGCCATTTTAGATTTGCTCAGTGTTTATATAATATATATGTTTTTTACACTACTACAGCTATGTGAGCGCAACACAAGGTAGCAATAGCGTTTCCCCACTTAAAATTTAGCAGTATTGTTGGAGTAAAGATATTGGGCATCAGCTGGGTTTTTAGAATAAACTTAAAGGATACATAAACGTTATTTTTGATTCTAATTAGATTTTTCAATTTGTCATGACTTTTCAAAAAATACTGTGTGAAACAGCGCCCTTGTCTTACGCTCATCCATAATTAATACAAGGGGATTAATAAAAGCCCATTCAGTTGGTGACTTTCAATTTGTTTTTGTTAAATCTAAAAATTCAAAATCCTTTTCAATTACTATATTAGCCTTGCTTTCAATTTTTAGAACCATCGGCTGAAATGGAGACGAAATAACTGAGGATAGGTCGAGCGAAATTAGAACAAAACCGCAAACAGAAATTCGCCATGTGATTCTCTTCGGTTTTCGGCATATTTTACAGTCAATGCAAATTTTCAGTGAATGTCAAATTGCATATGGAACAATTGCTCCGTCTTTAAACACTATTTCTAAGTGGTTCCGAAGACTTCAGACCGCGAATTTTTCCGTAAAGGACGAGCCCCGAGAAGGTCGACCAAAATCTGGCATTGAAATTATTTCTAATGAATTGAGCTTGAATGCCATGGCTGCGTCGCGAATATTAAATAATCATATAGGATGCAAAAAGAAGTCTACTCGATGGGCTATTTAATTTAAAGTAAGGACCAAAACTCGGCTTGCTCAATTTTTCTTAAATAAATTCGAAAATGGTCAATCAAGCAACATTGGCAAAGCTGTTATTGGTGACTAATCTTGGTTCTATCCAACAACCATACAGCAGTCCATGATAAGGAGCCCAACAGGAGAAAACCCATCCGTAAAATCTAAGCTACAGAAATCAGCAGAAAAGTATCTAGTTATGCTAGTTTTCTTTACCCTATATAAATCTTATCTGCTATTCCACTGAAAAAGGGTGAGACGGTAGCTGAGAAATTGTACACTGAAGTGTACTTGCTTGGTCTTTTTAACACCGGCTGAATTTCATTCTCTGTTCTGTTGAAGTTCGTAAAATGATTACCGAGATGGGTAACTGGTTAAAGATTATTGCTGTAGCGCTTAAGGCTCCAGATTCAAGACTCGCTAAAGGAAAAATATTGTGTTTATTTCTATTTACTCAGCCGGGTAATGAATAATGAAAAGTTCTCTTTGACTGTGCAGATGTCGTTGCTATTTACGTCATGCCGATAGCCAACTGGTTAGAGTGATGTGTGAGGTTCGCGAATCAATCCTCGCAGAAGGCAAAACTCATTTTCATTTCATTAAATTTTGAGTGCTGGTGAAGTAAGAGTTTAAAAATGAACTGGTATATAACTAGTATGAACCTAGGGCTTGGGCAATTGTCAGCTCGTAGGATATCGACGTTTTAAAATTATCAGTTGCTCACATACAAATTAAATGAGTTATTAACTAGTTAGTGGAAAACTGCATATTAATTTGATTCTAAGTAACAACTCCTCTTATTCCCTGCCGGGAAGTGTTACCTAATAGAAAACTATACGTTTAATAAATAGCAAAACTATGTTCTATGTTATCCTACCATTTTCGTGAACTAATCAGTTTTGTCACACATTATTGCTAGGAAAGAATTCAAGTTTTTTTTAGATGGATTTTCATTAGTCTTAGACAAAGTTAATTAGACTCTGCAAGAGTTTCTGTCAAACTGAAGATTGGCTCGCAGAATACTAGCATTTTTTGCATGTTTTTTTTTTATTATTTAGTGAAATGACTGTAAATAAATACAGTTACGTTAAAACGACTTGGTGCGCAACCAAATGGATAAAGTTTATTCAAAATCCATTAACACATAAAAGTAAATGATCGCTTCCGCTAAAATGGGCAGAATATTCAAGTAAATATTGTAAAAGACACATCCTTATCCTTTTAACAACTGTTGGAATATTAAATTTGCGTTTAAAATCGCCGTTTTATTTAATCGCTTTGTATGGATTATCTTTTTATTATGCAAATCACATGCTATTTAAATACCGTTAGGCATGTTATTAAAATATAAAGCTAGCTTCCAAAATATATATGTAAATATCAGTGTAGGCGGCAGACAAAACACGTACGAAAAATTTGACACCTCTCATGTCATAGTCCCTTTTTCTCTTAGTCTTCTCCTGAAAGGGTGCATATCGTCCCAATTTGATGCTAAGAGCATTTAGATTTGTTTATAAATTTTGGGTGTATGGGTATGTGTTAGTGTAAGTTTGATGGTATCAGTATGTCATATCGATATTATCGCCACATTTACCCTGCCAAAAGCGTACAAATAACAAAATAATAATAATAATAATAATAAGAGTACAACGATGACAGCGACAAACAAAAGAGAAAAGGGAAAATGCTGAAATCAAATATAAACAAGAAAGATGCAGGAAGAGAATAAATACAACAACAAAAACAATAACAAAATAAACAAAGCAAAACCATAGAAAGCTGTAAAAGCGAATGGGTTGTTCGGTTGGGTTGCTGCTGAGTGTGTCATGTGACATGCATTATGAATATGTTGTCAAGAAGTTGTGTATTTATGGGCCTTTTTGAATATAACTTGTAAATATTTGTATACATATACATACATACGTACATGTACGTGTATGTGTTGCTATATAAACTTGTATTTATTGTTTGCTATATTCATATTGCCGTTACACAAATACATATGTACGTATGCTTCAAAGTTTGGGTTAAGTGTATAAATATTTGTGTTGGTTTGTGTGTGCAACTATGTATATACATATGTATAACAGAGGTTAACATGAAATGCCTGTGGTTGGACGCTATAGGCAAAATATTTTTAGTCACATGAGCATGTTTGAATGTGTGCCATTTACATATACGTGTATGTTTTTATTGATATATAATATATACAAAAATTATGTATGTTATGTACCGAAATCGATTCCCTGCCGGCGCCAATCGATGTTGCCGGATCCAAGCGCTTCCAACTGTCAAAGAAATCACGTACGAATCGGCGATTAGTGTCAACAATACGAAATCCAGTTATATTGATGGCACCAAATTCGATGATTTCACTCTCCCAACGATCGTCCATTACCTGAAATGGAATGCATCAAATCAAAGCGGACCTATGAAAAAGCAATACAAAGTGATAGCAGCGGAGTAAAACACCACAGAAGAAATACAATAAAGTAAATTACAACAAAATCAAAAAAAATAAGAGGAAACTAGAATAACGGAAGTTAAGTTAAAGATAAGTAAGTTAAAATAAATTAATGAATAAAGCAAAATTAAATTAATAAAATAAAATAAAATAGAATAAAAAAGTTAACTAAAGCAAAATACAAATATAACATAAAATAATACACTAAAAAAGTGTAGGTAAAAAAATAAACATATTAATAAAATAAAAAGTAACATTAAATAAAATTAAATTAAGCAAAGTTAAATAAACTTATACCAAAAATTTTAATAAAACAGAATAATAAACTAATATACAAAAAAATTAAAATTATAAAATAAATTAGAACAAGAAAAGTTAATTAATTAAATTTATAATTAAATTAATTAAAAAAAAAACAAATAAAAAATGAAACAAATGTAAATAAAATAAACTAAAGCAAAGTAATAGAAAAAAAAACAAAAAAAATAATAATTTAAAAAAATTACATAAAATAAAATAAATTAAAAAAAATATACTAAAATTTAATAAAATAATATAACAAAATATAAAACAAAATTATAAATATTATAATATACCATTATATAAACTGAAATAAAAAAATTAAAACAATAAAAAAATAAAACGAAACAAAATTATATAAATAAAATAAATTAAAATGAAGTTAGGTAAAATAAAATTGACACATATGAAATAAAAGAAAATAAAAAAAAACTAAACAAATGTAAAATTAAATAATTTAAAATAAATTTAATTAATAATAAAATTTAAGTACAATAAATAATATAATATAAAATTAAATAATGAAGGTAAAATGAAATAAAATAATAAATAGAGTAAAATGGAATAAATAAAATAAAGTAAATGAAAAAAGAGAATTAAATAAATAAATAAAATAAGATAAAGTAAAATAAAAAAAAAAGATTATAATAAAATATATTATTATATAACAAAATTTGATGAAATAAAATTGAATGGTGTGGGATAAATTAAAATAAAATAAAACAAAATAAAATACACCAAAATTAAACTTAACAAATTCATTAAAATAAAGTAAAGTGAAATAAAATTAAAGGAAATTAAATTAGTACGATAAAATAAATTAAAATGAAATTAAATAATATAAAAGAAAACTAAGTAAAATAAATAAAAGTAAAACAAAACTCAACTACATTAAAAAAATATTAAAAAATAAGAAAAATATAATAAACCTAAAGAAATAATATAAAACGAAATAAATAATAAAACAAATTGAAATGAGAAATGAATGAAAGTAAAGTAAAATAGGTAAATTAAATATAAATGAATTGCCACAGCAAAAAACATAAAAAACTGAACATAAAGAAAACCAAAATTAAATACAACAAACTCAAAAAAATAAAAAATATATGATATTAGATATATAAAAAAATTTGAAAAAATATATTATCAGTATAAAAATAGTGTTAATATCTGCTACATTCAAACAAACATACTTATATATAAATACAGTCTGTAACATACTTAGATATTATCACCGCTTGACTTTTGGCAATGTGCTAAGCGAAAATTGGCACGTAGCACCAGATGCAATGGCAACACGTACAACAAGGATAATTGGTTATTAATGTGGTTTCAAACATCAAAACCGCTGAACAAACCAAAAATGCCACACAAATCGTTTTGTGGGCGCCCGCACAAATAAAATACATAGATACATATCTACGTATGCATGTATAAAAACAGACAAAACTAATATTTGTATAAATGCCAACTTTTGCCTTTACCGTTGTAAGCATTTTGTTTTAGTCAGCATATTTGTTGATAAGTATTCACCTTTGTTCATTTGCGGCTTGGCAGTCATGCGGAACGATTTATTTACTTGGCTTAAAATGCAAGAGCGTGCCATCATCACAAAATATGTATGTATATATGTTGTAAATGTATAATACATGCAAACAAAAGCAAAAACAAAAGCAAAAACAAAAAAAAAAAACGAAAAAGTAAAAGTATAAAGATTTTGTTGTAGAAATTGATATGAAAATTGGAAATTATTTCATACCAAACCGCTTAGCAAATAGTGATACGTCCGTCTTCCAAGCGAAATGTCACGCACATGTTGTATGAGTATCTGCTTGGCCATTTCCGTTGGACAATCCAGTACAATGTATTTATTAGTGAAACGTCCCAAATCCTCAAGTGTATGCAGGAAGTCAATGGCCATCGTTACATTCGCTATACGTTTAACCATTTCCACTTGAAACGACTCATTGCCCGGTTTGAGTCCTTGATAAATTTGTTGTAGTCGTAGAAGACCTGGAAAAGGTAAGAAAAGAAAATATATTGAAAATATGCTGTGCTTGTGAATTTAATTTATCGGCCGAAAAATACATATATTTATTACGTAGAATTGGTTTTAATTTTTATTTTCTTTCTGCTAAAAAATAGCAATTCGAAGTTTAAATTTATATATATTGAACTTTCAAAACTTAATTTCATACTTCTTGAAATAATTAAAAATTATATTTATATAAAAATTTGGCTATATCAGGCATATCAATAAAATAAATTTACGATTCAACGATTCGATTCAAGATGATTTCCTCTCAATGCAATCAATTTCAAAATAAACAATAAAAATAAAATAAAAATATAAGTAAAAATAAAAATATAAGTCAGAATTTCAATCCGAAAATTATACACTCGCTTACAAAACTTAATACAAATCTCTCCCCTTGCGAATCACATTTTTACGCAACATATTTTTTCCACACTCTCATATCTCCAATGTCGTTAAATGTGACGCACGCAAATGTCAATAATATGAAGGCATACACATATACAATACACATCTATTTGGGTGTATGTATGGAATGATGCCATAAAATGGGATTTTCAACACAAGAAGTAATAAAATAAAATAAAATGTGCATAAATGTGGATATGAATATGTTTTGGGGTGGGTGCGGCATGGCGTATACGCAACTCACTAAAATCGATGGGAAAGCAATACACAGCAGATGTACATATTCTGTGTTATGTTAAAAAAAAAGCAAAAAGCTTACACTCGATTTGTTCACGTTTGTATGAACATATATGTACACATATTTAACGTTTGCAATCGATTGGTTGGGCACAAAAATTACAGTTCTTCTTTCATGTGTTTGGTGCGTTAAGGCGTGTAGCGCTGTGTAGCCGAGTGCGTGGAATAAATCCTTGTTGATTCCCAGTCAAGTGCTGATTGACGTAACTGATCGCTAAGATTAGTCTGAGCGTGCTTATATGACTGCACATAAATATGGGCGATTGCCAGCAATTATTTCGAAATCAAAAGTCAATTGGAAACAATTTATTGAGGAAGCGAAAAATCAAAGCTGATCGAAGGCATAACGAATAAAATATTTTAAAATAAAAATAACGTAATACTAATAGAGATCTATCTTTACTTTACGGCGGATGATTTAGTGGTAGCTACATCTTCTTCTGTGAGGCAATCAAAGAAGTGTTTCCAAAGATACCAATGTCGAGTGGCGCTTCAGGTCTCTTCATTGCTTCTGCAGCTTCGAGAAAAGGCATTAGTTCTGGGGCAGATATATTTAAAACATTTTAATTTATCGTTTGTTGCTTAGAATTTGGCAAAGAGGTAGTTTCCGACCTGAGATATCATTGGGAATAATTTTACTCCCGAAAAGTTGTCTTTTCTTTGACCGATCTAATCAAAAAGGATCCCAATTGGGTTTTATATAATATTTTGCCCAAATTATTATTGGGAACACATTCTATCCGATCTATTTATATTTAAAAGAAATGGAAAAACTGAAAAAATTGTATACAGAAAAAGATTTCGTTTCCATAAAAACATATAGGTTTACATACTTAATCCTTGAGAGTCTGGCGTATATATATGTCGAGCAGCGTTTCAAAATTTTGGAAAGAAACGAGGTAAGACTGATGTGCGCAGAATCTTCCGATTACAGGCTTCTCCTTTTGAACCGAACAATAATTCGGCACTGATTCAAGCACACGAAGGATAGTGTGGACATATTTTGAATGCTATAAATAGCAGTGGGAAATAATGTGTCTCTGTAACTAAGCAGAGAATGGGCCGTTTTTCCCCAGATACTTGTAGAATAGGTAAGATTTGAATGCAAAATTCATACGAAAGATGCTTGTTCTTACTGCGTGAGAGTTGCTTGCGCTCTTTAGGAAAGTGAGGGTTGTGCAACAATTATGACGCAATATGTGGTGCATTCACCACTTTTACTCTGCCAGTTTGTGATAGGAGTGCTGTTGGAGAAGGTTTTTCTCAATTTGTTTCTATCTTAGACTCCATCGATGAGATTGCAGTAGGGATTCTAAGATATTTTGTGCCTTCCTGACTACTTTTTTGAATGATTTTAAGTTCGTTTAGAGAGTTGCCAGAAACCTGTAGTTTTTTTTTTGGAATTTCAGAGGTTTCAGCATTGCACCATATAGGCGGGTTACAATCTTTGGGTATACATAGAGGATATGAAGGATTTAATAATAATTTCCTTTTTTGCATTTCAGTAGTTCGAAATGATTTTAAAATAGAAAAAGTATTAACATATATAAATCTAACTTTCTTGGGTATGACTCGATGGTGCCTTAAAAGATTTAATATACAAGCCAGCTATAATCTGAGTGTCCACAGAGAAAGGAACTATTTTTGAGATATCCAGAAGTATTCAAGCATCGTTATTCCCAAGGAGCATGTGATTGTAGACTATCTCATGTAAATTAAAAGCATTCTCCAAAAGCTTGCTTAAATGCATTTATTTGCCTCTTGGAAAGATATTTATCTGCACACATATACACAACAGTTGAAATATACGGATGTGAGAAATCGCAAATAATTTTTATCTACACATTCCACTTATTCTTCTTTTATATTGAAATCGATAAAAAAAATGCTGAAATGAAACAAAGAATAAAAATTAGTAGACCCGGAAAACGACACCAATAACAATTTGTATCGATTAGAATTGGGCGGACTTTTAGATTGCATTTGGCTAACACCGATTGTTGTTATTGTAGTTTGGCTTTGGTCTTTCGACACATGCGCATTGTTTCGCATTCGCATGTGAAATGTCAAACACAGACAATGCATATAAGTATATGTATGTATATTTTGCATATATTTACATACATATGAATGTAGATGCATATGCGCCTTTGGAGTTCGCAGTGTTTATTTGTCAATGGGCATAAGTAAGAATTCCCTGTTGGGACTTAACTATAAATTGTGGCTTAGATTGAATTGAAAATTGGAGCAACAACAAAACAAACTGTGTCAGCAGAAAAATCGTTTGCAATATACACGTATCATTCGTTGGCATATGCATATACATATATATATACATATATGTATGTGCAAAAAAAATGGTAAACAATATTGACAAACTGAAAATGGCAGACTTTTGGCCTTCCATGGGACTTACGTACATCTATATACCGTTGATAGTTTTTTTAACTGTCTAACATACATATATATCATGGGTTGTATATAAGTACATACATCTTGGAACGTGAACGGAACGAATAATAGTTTGTTTCATTGGTACTATATATATATCTATGTGAATGATTTTGACAAACGTTATTGTATTGGTAAAGTAAAAAATTCACTGCAATCGCTTATATGTACTTGAAGAAATAGAAGCAAGCATGAACTTTTGTACATTTGGTGTACATATGTAAGTAGGTGTGTATCCCCACACTGTGATCAACTACAGTGACAGTTGTCATTCGTTTTGTGTAGTATCTATGTATGTACGTGTATGTTACTGGTTTCTTCGAAAAGATTTTGTATTTTTAATCTTTTCAACTGTCACTCAGTCTAGCTGCTCTCTGGAGTAAAAACCTTGCTGTTTTATAATCATGTTGTAGATATACATTTTGAGTGGATGGCGCAATTTTGTTGTGTCCCATATTTTTTTTTTTTTTTTTTTTTTTTTTTAAAACAGCGTTTGAAATGGAAAAATATGAAATATATATTTATGACCATTATAGGCATATCTACGATTTGAAATAAAAATTTGTTGTTGGTATGAAGACATTATTTATATGTGTTAAATATTTTGGTTATATGTGTATTTTATTTAGTTAAAAAATATTTTGGGTGATTGACATACAATTTTAGGTTATATTCCAATAAAGCAGTTTGGGATCCTGAACTTAAATCCATCTCTCTCATAAGAGTGGCGTTAGACAAAGTAAATGGTATTTACCGTGGCCAAACGAGTATAAGAGTTTTTTTTTTATTATTAAAGCTTATTCACTGCTTGAGTTTTTGACTGATTTTCAAATTTTCCTCTTTATACTTGTCGTCTAAATTTTTCTGCAGTCGTACGGCAATGTTTAGTGTAATTTATTTAGTGAATATAAAAGCGGCCTAACTTTTGGTCTCCATTTTTTCTCTTAAAGTTCAATAAAACACATTTTCCCCCTTTTTATGAAAAACTGTAAGAACTATTTTGAATTTTATGAGATTTTCCTTTGTTTCTGCCATGGTTTTATCTCTCATTCTAGCTGCATTAATATACCAACTTCCATTTTTATATTAGGACAATAATACGGCGAACGCTCAGGTATCGTTCAACAGCAGATTCCATTTAAAAATTAAATTTAATTATCTCATTCGTTTGCTGAACTTTTCACTTGACAATAAATAGTATGCTGCATGTCGATAATGAAGGCTTATATTCCCCTATAACTTGAGAATATTTTCCTAAAATTTGAAGTTGATCCGACCAACAGTGTCGGAGATATGATTGTATCATTAAGGACGCCTCGTGGCGTTCGTACTTAGTGTATTTAATGTATATTTTTCCCAAACGCTCTTTTCAGAGGCGATGAGGAAATTTTCTCTGAAATGGCTGAACTGATCGGCTTAAATATTTTACACTATCTTTTAAGGCATATTTGATAGGTAATAATGCGAAGGACTAAAATTGGCAATTTCGAATTTTTAAGCCCCTTTGAAGTGTAGAATTTTTCATAAAAAAGTGTTTTTTTCTGTCAAAAATTAATATTTTCAATCTACCTCCGTTCATGACCTGTATTCATCCTCGATAACAATAATTTTTTTTTTTGGTTTTCGGTTTTCAAATACATACGGGACTTCGACTATACTTTAACTAACAGTAACGTTTTTTGAGGTGGAAGAAGCAAAACGGTAATGCACAATGAAACATATTCGGTCGCACCGTTAAGGGGTAAAACCACTCTAGAAGTTGAAAAGTAGAGACATTTTTGTAAATTTATTGTAGGAATATGGGAAAGGAAGTATAATTTCT